AGTGGCTATTGTTCGAGACTAACAATACCAAGGAGGGGGCAGTGTTACGTCAGCGAGGTCACGTGACTTGTATCACGCCACCTCCTTCTAGAAATATCCTGTTCCTTCATGAATGCTCTAGCGTTTACTAGATATGTGTTATTCTTGTATATATAAGACGGTCACAACGTGACGGGACAGTGAATGTGTAATTGAACTAAGTATTGTTGGAGTCGAGCATGTGAGACGTACGTTGAGAATTATAGCGTTTGTTATAGCGCGACAGTTGAAATTAAGTGTATCGCAAAGTTATATTCAGAAAGAATAAACCAGTTTTATATAAGAAAGGACTTGTATCGCTAAAGTTTCGTCGGAACGAATTTACGGAAAATTAACTAACCAACGGAGACGTAACAATACGTAGGGATGAGCAAATAGGCTGGTTGGACTCGTGGGATAATTTTAATGTGAAAGTTAATCTTTTTGGAAGGTATGGCTTATACTTAAACAAGGCAAGGGCTAGCATGTTAGCAAGGGCTCTTAACTCAGCTGTAGTGGTAGATTTAAACTAGGGCTAGACAGAGGTGAGAGCTATTATATTAGTAAAATAGGAAATGTAATTGACAGGAAAACATGTACAACAGACATAAAACATGAACGTATTTAAAATCTATGATTAATTGCTACTATTTTAATGCTAGGAGTATTAGAAATAAAATTGATAAGTTCAAAGCAGTTGTGGAAAGTGAGGATTAGGATATTATGAGACTTGGTTGGATTTAAACAATTTTGATGAGAGAAATTTGTTTTGAAATACTAGGCTACAGATTATTTACTAAAAACAGAGTATTGAAAAAGGGGGAGGAGTAGCTTTATATGTGAGGAATGAATTGCACTCTGTTGAATTAGATCATATTAAAGAAAATAGTACTGAGGTTGAGTCAGTTAGTGTTAGTGGATATAAAGGGAAAAGTCTTCGATCAGAATGTAGAAGTTAATGAGAAATTTTATAATGAGATCAAAATGGTAGCTGAAGAAGATGTTGTTATTGTGGAATATTTTAATTTCAGGGGTATTGATTAGGAAAATGTTAAGTCTGACAGTGAGGGGGGATAGGTTTTGGAAATTGTTCAAGATACTTTTATATACCAACTGGTGATCAAACCTACAAGAGAGGAAGCTATATTAGATATCTGATGTGGATATGACAGGCAGAGTTGTGGTTGGTGAGAATTTAAGTACAAAGTGACTATTGCACTATTAGGTGTGGGATTTTCTTACATGTAGAATTGAAGAAGAATAGTACCAAATTCCAAATTTCAGTAAAGCCAATTTTGATGGAATGAGACATGATCTGTAGAATGGACTAAGGAGTTGGGAAATGATCTTGAACAGATGTAGGAAGCATTTAGAGAAAAATTGATACACATACAGAACATACATATTCTAAACAGAAATATGGCAACAGAGCAGAATAAGCCAGCATGGTTTAGTAAAGGTTTAAGAGATCATATTAGGAATAAACATAATAAATTCAAGAAATTTTGTTTGTTTGTTATGAATTTCGCACAAAGCTACATGAGGGCTATCTGTGCTCGCCATCCCTAATTTAGCAGTGTAAGACTAGAGAGAAGGCAGCTAGTCAGCACCACACACCGCCAACTCTTGGACTACTCTTTTACCAAAGAATACCTGCAACCCTCAGATTGCGAGTCAAGCGCCCTAACCACCTGGTCCTGCCGGGCCTCATGAAATTTAAACTTACTGGAAATAATAAGGACTTGGAGGACTAGGAAATCAAGAGAGCTGGTTAAAAAGAAAGTCATAAGGGCAAAAACTGTCTATGAAAGAGGGTTGGCTGAGAGAGTTAAACAATTAGGAATTCTTTAGGTGGATGATGAGTAAGCAAAATGTTAGGATGGGGATTAGGCCTCTTAAAAATGATAGTGGGGAACTTATCTCGGAAGATTACGAGATGGTAAACTTATTAAATTATATGTTCTCTTCAGTTTTTACAAAGGAAGATACAAATATTATGCCTCAACCATAGCACTTAATGTATGGGGAAATATTGATGTAAAAATTAACATTTTAACTTCTGAAATTGTAAGAGAAAAGTTGGGAAACCTAAAAATTGATAAATTTCCTGGACCGAAAAAACTTTTATCCTGGAGTTTTAAAGGAACTTAAAGATTTTATTTGTGAACCACTAGCTAATATATTGTTACGTTTCCGTTTGTTAATTGATTTTTCCGTAACTTCCTTCCTACGAAATTTTAACGACACAAGTCTTTACTTAATAAAACTGGTTTATTCTTTCCGAATATAACTTTACCGATACACTCAACTTAAACAATCGCGCTAAACAAACGCTATAACAGCGAACGTCAATAATACTTCTGACTGCAGTTCAATTACTCACTATCTACACACACATTACATTTCCCTCCCCGCGTCACGTTGTTCCCCTCTTATATATACCCGCCTACCCCACCTAGTAAATACTAGAGCATTCATGAAGAAACAAGATAGTTCTAGAAACTAGAGGGCGCCACACCAGTCACGTGACCTCGATGACGCAACACTGCCCCTCCTTAGTATTGTTC